AGAGGCAACATCGATCGGCTTCTGTTAGCAGCAGTGTGGCGAAGGAATCGCTCGATCGGGTTCAGTTAACAGCCATCGATCGATCACTCGGGTTCAGTAACGCGTAGCCTGCGGTGCAATCGCTCAGGTTCAGTAGATGAACACCTCGCTCGGGTTCAGCTAGAGCCCAACGCCTTGCACCCACGTGCGTACGTGTACGAGAGAAATGCGCGTCACTCAGCCCCCGACTACCCACTGTAACTGGGAACTCCCCAATATTTTCCTCGCCCTCGCTTCTACCACGGTTTTTTCTGTCATGGACGGCCCAAAGAATGTCATGTAGCTGCGTCTCCGGCTCGCCCAGGACGAAAAGCCCATTTTTGTCATGATTTTTTGTTATAGAAGTAGGAGCCCACCACATCTATGATGATACCGGGTTTTGTCACAATTATCATCATAGAAGTGTCATAAGCATGACAGAAAAAACTTTCGTTCAGCCTAAAATGTCACGAATGTGTCTTTTTTTTGTAGTGAACCTTTTGTACCCGTGAGATCCCATCTTGGGGCCTTTTCCGGCATCCTATCGGAGGGGGGATCGATCACGGAGGGCTTCTACATCAACACCATTGCCTCTTTGATGAAGCGGGAGTAGTTTACTTCAGACCTACGGGTCCATAGGTAGTAGCTAGATGGCTTCTTCTCTCTCTTTGATTCTCAATACAAAGTTCTCCTCGATGTTCTTGGAGATCTATTCGATGTAATACTCTTTTGCAGTGTGTTTGCTGAGATCCGATGAATTGTGGATTTATGATCAGCTTATCTATGAATATTATTTGAATCTTCTCTGAACTCTTATATGCATGATTTGATATCTTTGCAAGTCTCTTCGAACTATCGATTTGGTTTGGCCAACTAGATTGGTTTTTCTTGCAATGGGAGAAGTGCTTAGCTTTGGGTTCAATCTTGCGGTGCTCGATCCTAGTGACAGAAGGGGAACCGACACGTATTGTATTGTTGCCATCTAGGATAAAAAGATGGGGTTTTCATCATATTGCTTGAGTTAATTCCTCTACATCATGTCATCTTTCTTAAGGTGTTACTCTGTTCTTATGAACTTAATACTCTAGATGCATGCTGGATAGCGGTCGATGTGTGGAGTAATAGTAGTAGATGCAGAATCGTTTCGGTCTACTTGACACGAGCGTGATGCCTATATGCATGATCATTGCCTTAGATATCGTCATAACTTTGCGCTTTTCTATCAATTGCTCGGCGGTAATTTGTTCACCCGCCGTAATAATTTCTATCTTGAGAGAAGCCTCTAGTGAAACCTATGGCCCCCGGGTCTATTTTCCATCTAAGTTTCCGATCTACAATCTTAGTTTCTGATTTACTTTCTTTTGCAATCTTTTACTTTCTGTTCCATAAACCAAAAATACCAAAAATATTACTTTACCGTTTATCCATCTCTATCAGATCTCACTTTGCGAGTAACCGTGAAGGGATTGACAACCCCTTTGTCGTGTTGGTTGCAAGTTGGTGTTTGTTTGTGCAGGTATTCGGTGGCTTGTTGCGTAGTCTCCTACTGGATTGATACCTTGGTTCTCAAAACTGAGGGAATTACTTATGCTCCTGTGCTGCATCACCCTTTCCTCTCCAAGGGAAAAACCAACGCAAGCTCAAGAGGTAGCAGTACATACCCTCAGCCCGAGGGTGAACTACTCCCTCCTCATCATGGAGAGCGCCGGGATGATGAAGATGGCCATCGGTGATGATTTCCCCCTCCGGCAGGGTGCCGGAATAGGGTCTCGATTGGTTTTTGGTGGCTACAGAGGGTTGCGGCGACGGAACTCCCGATCTAGGTTTATTTCTGGGGGTTTCTATATTTATAGGAATTTTTGGCGTCGAGAACAAGTCAGGGGGGGTCCACAAGTCGACCACAAGGACGGAGGGTGCATAGGTTTTTTATGGACCAGAAGAAGCCCCTGAAGCAAAAGAGTTGGGACAAAAGAGCCACGAGGCCTCCACAAGGGTGTTGTTTTTTGTGCAGAAATGGAAGTTCTTCAAATGAGCTGAAACTTTTTGACAAATTTTTTGGAACAAAAGAGACCCCCGAAGCTTCGTGGGAGGGCCAGAAGAGCCATGAGGAGGGCACAACCTACTAGGGTGCACCAGAGGGGCCCGGCTTGCCTCGGTGGGTTGTGCTCACCTCGAGGCCCATCTTCTCGTGAAATCGACGCCAAAAATCCTATAAATAGAGAAACCATCAGAAATAACCCTAGATCAGAAGTTTCGCCGCTGCAAGCCTCTGTAGCCACGAAAAACCAATCCAGACCCCGTTTTGGCACCCCGCCGGAGGGGGAAATCATCATCGGTGGCCATCTTCGTCATCCCGGCAGCCACCATGATGAGGAGGGAGTAGTCCATCCTCGGGGCTGAGGGTTTGTACCTGTAGCTATGTGTTTAATCTCTCTCTCTCTCTCTCTCTCTCGTGTTCTTGAGATGTCATGATCTTGATGTGTCGCGGGCTTTGTTAATATAGCTGGATCATATGGTGTTTTCCCCTCTCTATCTTGTTGTGATGAATTGAGTTTTCCCTTTGAGATTTCGTTTTATCGGATTCAATAGTTGTATGGATTTGAAAGCACTTGATGTATGTCTTGCTATGAATACCCATGGTGACAATGGGGTATCATATTGATTCACTTGATATGTGTTTTGGCACTCAACTCGTGGATTCCTGAGGTGACATTGGGGTAATCTATGCATAGGGGTTGATGCATGTTCTCGTCTTTGTTTCTCTGGTAGAAATCTTGGGGCACTCTTTGAAGTTCTTTGTGTTGGATTGAGTATTATGAATATGAAATTGTTTAATGCATATCATATAATCAACTCACAGATACTCGCGGTGACATTGGAGTATCTAGGTGACATTAGAGTTGGTTGATGTGTACCATATGATGTTACTTTAGTACAAACTCTTGGTTAGATCGATCAGAAAGAATAGCTTGGTGTTATTTTAGTATGAACTCTAGGATAGATTGATCAGAAGAATAGCTTTGAGGTGGTTTCGTACCCTACAAACAATTTCTTCTTATGTTCTCCGCTAGATAGGAACTTTGGAGTGATTCTTCATCGCACGTTGGGGGATGGTTATATGATCCAATTAGATTAGCATTGTTGAGAGATTGCACTAGTGGAAGTATGGACCGTAGGCCTCATTTTCAACCATTTCAATACCGTTTGTGCTCACTTTTGTTACTTGCTACCTTGTTGTTTTTTATTGTTCCTATTACAAAAATCAATATCTACTATCATCACTACGCTTGTATCACCATCTCTTCGTCGAACTAGTCCACCTATACAAATTACCATTGTATTTGGTGTGTTGGGGACACAAGAGACTCTTTGTTATTTGGTTACAAGGTTGTTTGAGGAGAGACCATCTTCATCCTACGCCTCCCATTGATTGATAAACCTTAGGTCATCCACTTGAGGGAAAATTGTTACTGTCCTACAAAACTCTGCGCTTGGAGGCCTGACATGAGTCTACAAGAATAAAGTTGCATAGTAGACATCAAATGTTCATGTTGATTTCCCCAATTGCCAACTATGGGCTAGAACCCTAGACAATACAACTCCTCTTATATCAATAATACATCTCAGATCCGAGATAGATCTGATTTCCTCCATACAATTTCCCAAATAGATCGATAAAACCACTCAGACCTGACAAATTGGTATTATGAGCCACCGTTCTTCGGCGGAGGCGTGCTCTTGGGGCGAATTTTTCTTCCTAATCATTGATTTCCACCCTTTTCCCACCCTTCTTCTTGAGAGCCAACGACGGTGCTTCCAGGGGGCATTGGCGGCGGGGGTTGGAGAGTTGTTGGTGGCGGTGTGGTGGCACAGGCGGCGGTGCTTGTTCGAGCACAGATCGGTCGAGCAGAGGCCGTTGCTCGAGCACCTTGCTTGATCGGTAAAATTCTGAGTTCTAGCACCGATCTGTGTGCTAGGGAGGCGTGGATCGTGGCAGTGGCAGGATCTGAAGTTCTTGAAGGGTTGCTACCAGTCCAGTCATAAAATTCCTCACCTCCACCCCATATCGAGATGGGGCGCTCAAAGACTATCGATGACACAGATCTTCAGGAAGTACTCTCCCTGCATGATGATTTGGGAGTTCTTCAGAAGGACGGTTCTCTGATGTGTGCCAAAGTGACAAAACTCCAGACAGATGATCAGTCCATTGGTTCTAAGCAAGGTGAGATCTCTCTGCAGGTGGAAAACGTGCAGCAGGCTGTAATCTTGGCAAGCAACTATCAGCTATTAGCATAGTTTTAAAAAGTATAGTTCAACCTAGTACTTACACTCAAGGAGACACACAACTTCCTAGTTCTAGTCAGGTGGTCAGATCACCTACTCTGCATCAGGAACAACCACTAGACCAAGTGGACAAAATAGAACAGTTGAGGAAGCAATTAGTAGTAGAGAAGGAAAATCCAAGCAGTTGGAAGACTTGCAACTCTAGAATTTACCACCTATTAGAACTCACAGAGCTATAGTTCCTCTTGGATATGCTAATCCAGGAAGACAGGAGACTGCCAGTGTTTTAGGAACTCCAGTGACTGCCAGAAATAATGATCATACACCTGCATTTAACAAGTATCATCAGCAAAATAGAGATAGGCAGTTATGGCAAGGGTACTATAGAACTTATGAACAGGATATGTAGGCACAGTTCATGAAATCCATCACAAAAGGGCCCAAACTAGACTTTCCAAGATTTTCTGGAGAAGACCTAGTTGGCTAGATAAGACAATGCAATAAGTTTTTCCAAATGTCTATTGACCTGAAGAATATAAAGTTTCTTTAGCTCAAATGTATATCATTGATGAATCAGATACATGGCTGAGAAGATCTGGATTGTCGAAGGAGAAATTGTCTTGGAAGGAATTTGGGGCTAAAGTGGTAAAAGGTTTTTAGAGCAAGGTTCTGATGATTTAACTAAGAAGTTCAACACTATGAAGCAATCCAATGATTTAGTGTCTGCTTACACAAAAAACTTTGAAGATCTAATGGCAGAAGTACAAGAAGAAAATCCAGAGTTGGGAGAATTATGGTTTGTCAGATGCTATGTAAATGGGCTCAGAGAGGGAATCAAATATCAAATTTCAAATTAGACCTCATAGACTACATACACTTACTAATGCTTACCATTTGGCCAAGGATGTAAACCATGCCATCCCCCAATGTTACCAATACCAAAGAAATAAGGTTTCTCTATACAGACTATTATCAGAAACAACAGTACAATGTGTAGACTAAACTAGTTCCTTCTTCTCCACAGCAGCAACAACTTCCTATTAAACAACCTGAGAAAACTTTTGTCAGTAATCATAAATTTAAGAAGCCTAGAGAGTGTTGGAGATGCGGAGATAAGTGGGTGCCCAGGCATAATGCAAATTAATTCAAAATATTCATAGGATGCAACAAGAAACAATGGAGCAGAATGACAATACTGAAGAGCAATCTCCTCCAGAACAAGAGAAACTAACTGAAGAAGGCAAACAAGCTATGTTTATTTCTACCACAGTAGGACATCAACTAGATATTCCATCTCCAACAGTAATAGTGCACATAAATGGAAAAAGAGTTGTAACCCTTCTGGATTCAAGAAGTATTGCTTCTTTCATGAGCCAAGATTTTGCTGTGAAATGTAGCTATCAACTGTTACCTATAAAACCAAGAGTTATTGTTGTGACTGGTGGATGCAGACTTATTTCTTCAGCTGTAGCACCTAACAGTGAGTTTCAAATTGCAAAACTCAAGTTATCTCATAACTTCAAAGTCTTACCATTTCCCAACTATGATCTAATTTTTGAATATAATTGGTTCTCTCTAGTCAATCATGTAGCATTTAATGTACCAGAAAACACCTTCAGTTTCACTATCCAGGGCAAGCAAACTATCAGTATTGCATAAACTGTCAAGGAAGTACCGGCAAAACAACTACAAAGTTACTGGAAAAAGGAGCTGAGGGGTTTCTGTTACAAATGCACAATATTGTTTTAGAGGCTCCTCAAGGTTTTCGAACTCCACCTCAGCTATATAAATTATTGATGGATTATGCTGATTTGTTTGAGGAACCTTCTACTCTGCCCCCTGATAGAGAATGTGATCACACCATTCCTTTAAAACCTCGAATAGACCCACCTCATGCTAGGCCCTACAGAGTTCCTCAACACCAAAAACAAGAAATGGAAGACCAAATTAAGAAACTACTGGCATCTCATTTCATCCAACACAGTCAAAGTCCATATGCAGCTCCTGTCATTCTAGTGAACAAAAATGATGGATCTACGAGACTTTGTACCGATTTCAGGAAAAATGCAACAACCAAACAAATTTCCAATACCAGTAATAGAAGATTTGTTAGATGAGCTACATGGAGCAAAGTATTTCTCCAAAATTGACTTAAGGGTCAGTTATCACCAAATCAGAAGGCATCTTGATGATGTTCACAAAACAACTTTCAGAACATTTCTTGGCCATTTTGAATATTTGGTAATACCTTTTGGCCTTTCTAATGCTCCAGGAACTTTTCAAGCAGTGATGAACAACTTTTTTGAGCTTATCTAAGGAAGTTTGTGTTAGTCTTTTTTGATGATATCTTGATTTATAGCAAGACACTCAAGGAGCATGTGGAACACCTCCAAATAGTTCTACATATATTAAAAGAAATGTGTCTTTGTTGTATAACAAGTAGAATATCTTGGTCATGTTATTTCTACTACAGGAGTAGCAACAAACCTCAAGAAGATACAAGCTATTGTTGAGTGGCCAGCACCAGACAATGTTACAAAACTAAGGAGTTTTTTGGGTTTGGCAGGGTACTACATAAGATTTATTAAGGGATATGGTGTTATTTGTAGACCCCTACACAATCTTCTGAAGAAAGGACAGTTTGCTTGGATAACTGCTCATGACACAACATTTGCACAGCTACAACAAGCCTTAATTACTGCTCCAGTATTGGCACTTATTGATTTTTCCCAACCTTTTGTATTGGAAACTGATGCTTCAGGCAAAGGAATTGGAGCAGTTTTAATGCAACAAGGATGGCCTATAGTATTTTACAGTTCTTCCATATGATACCTCTCTGTCGTATCTACTTTTCCTAACACTTTTCCTCTTGTTTTGGACTCTATTTTGCATGATTTGAATGAAACTAACCCAGACTGACGTTGTTTTCAACAGAACTACCATGGTGTTGTTTTTGTGCAAAAAAAGTTCTCGGATTGGAACGAAACTTTGCGAGAATTTTTTATACAACAAAAGAGAATTTCTGGAGCCAAGAACCACCGGAGGGGGGCACCTGGGTGGGCACAACCCACCATGGCGCCCCCCTCCAAGTGCGCCAAGGTGGGTTGTCCCCACCTGGTGGCCCCGTAGACTTCAACCCTGATACTATAAAATCACATATTTGGAGAGAAAAAATCAGGGAGAAAGAATTATCGTGTTTCACGAGATGGAGCCGCCGCCACCTCCTGTTCTTCATCGAGAGGCCAGATCTGGAGTCCGTTTGGGGCTCCGGAGAGGGGGGTCTTCGATCTTCATCATCACCAACCCTTCTCTACCAATTCCATGATGCTCCCCATCGAGAGTGAGTAATTACTTCATAGGCTCGCTGATCGGTGAGGAGTTGGATGAGATTCATCATGTAATTGAGTTAGTTTTGTTACGGCTTGATCCCTAGTATCCATTATGTTCTGAGATTGATGTTGCTATGACTTTGCCATGCTTAATGCTTGTCACATTGGGCCCGGGTGCCATGATTTCAGATTTGAACCATTTATGTTATCACCATTATATCTATGTTCTAGATCCAATCTTGCAAGTTATAGTCACCTACTACGTGTTATGGTCCGACAAACCCGGAGTGACAAGAGTCGGGACACTTCCCGGTGATGACCGTAGTTTGAGGAGTTCATGTATTCACTATGTGTTAATGCTTTGTTCTGGCTCTCTATTAAAAGGAGGCCTTAATATCCCTTAGTTTCCAATAGGACCCCGCTGCCACGGGAGGGTAGGACAAAAGATGTCATGCAAGTTCTTTCCATAAGCACGTATGACTATTTACGGAATACATGCCTACATTATATTTATGAACTGGAGCTAGTGCCATATCGTCCTAGGTTATGACTGTTATATGATGAATATCATCCAACGAATTCACCCATCCAATGCCCACGAATTTCTCTCATATTGTTCTTGCTAAGTTACTACTGCTATTGTTACTATTGCACTGCTACAAAATCATTGCTATCACTATTGCCGTTACTATTGCTGTTGCTACCACTATCAAAACTATCATATTACTTTGCTACTGATCATTTTGCTGCAGATAATTAATCACCAGGTGTGGTTGAATTGACAACTCGTCTGCTAATACTTGCAAATATTCTTTGGCTCCCCTTGTGTCGATCAATAAATTTGAGTTGAATACTCTACCCTTGAAAACTGTTGCGATCCCCTATACTCGTGGGTTATCACCCTATGCCCTAGAAATGTTGCTATGTCAACTTATGAGAAAGAAGCCCTAGCTATATTGGAAGCCCTGAAAAGATGGAGGCACTATCTACTAGGCAGAGAGTTGTTCATCAAAACAAATCAACAATCACTCAAGTTTATTATAGACCAAAAAATCACAGAAGGAGTGCAACATTAGTTAATGATGAAATTGCTGGAGTTAACCTCCAAATTCAGTACAAAAAGGTGTTCTTAATAAAGTGGTAGATGCTCTTTCCAGAGCCCTATCAGCTTGCATGGCAATGTCAGCTATCACACCTATTTGGGCAAAAGAATTAGTACAAAGCTATCAGCAAGATCCAGTGGCCAAACAATTGTTAGCACAATTACTGTTGCATCCTTCTCACACTACTTCAGACCACCAATTAACACCTGGTATCATCATATCTAAAGGAATAATTTTAGTAGGAAATGTTCCTGCTCTCAGAACTAGATTGCTGGTTGCATTGCATAGTTCATCTATTGGGGGTCATTCTGGAACAAGAGCAACATACCAGAGAGTTAAGAACATATTTTACTGGCCAGGATTAAAGAAAGAAGTGGAAATTTTCCTTGTTGCTTGCTATATCTGCTAGAGAGCAAAGCATGAAAATTTTCTTCAGCCTCGTTTGTTAGATCCCCTCCCTATAGCTGACATGGTATGGTAACATATCTCTATGGATTTCATAGAAGGCCTCCCAAATTCAAATGGCAAAGAAGTGATACTAGTAGTGGTGGATAGATATACAAAATATGCCCATTTTGTTCCACTATCCCATCCATATACCGTCCTTAGTGTGGCACAAGCATTTCTAGATAGTATACTGTCACGCCCTCGATGCGGCTATACTCCCACGTGTCGAGGCACGACTTAGAGACATAACCGCATTGAAAGCAATGTCGCAAGTTAGGCAATCATCACAACATCCCATGCAATATATAATAAAAGGGGGAGGTACATAGTTGGCTTACACTCACCACGTCACATCAAAGTACATAAATAACATCCATCATACAAACACTCATGGCCCGACTACGGCGCCAAAATAGAAGAAAAACCCAACATGCGACAAGGTCCCAATCAAACCCCAACTAGGCACCACTACTGATCGTCAGGAAAAGACACGTAGTATCACTGAGAGTCTTCCTCAAACTCCCACTTGAGCTCGTACTCGTCACCTGGAGAGGAATCACCTGGACCTGCATCTGGAGTTATAGTATCTGTGAGCCACAGGGACTCAGCAATCTCGCACCCTCGCGATCAAGACTATTTAAGCTTATAGGAAGGGTAAGGCAATATATGTGGAGCTGCAGCAAGCGACTAGCATATATGGTGGCTATCATATTCGCAAAAGAGAGCGAGAAGAGGAGGCAAAGCACGAGCGTGAAAAACTAGAGGAACAACCTGCGCAAACATTACTCCAACACCGTGTCCACTTCCCGGACTCCACCGAGAAGAGGCCATCACGGTAACACACTCAGTTGATTCATTTTAATTAATTAAGGTTCAAGTTATCTACAACCGGACATTAACAAATTCCCATCTGCCCATAACCGCGGGCACGGCTTTCAAAAGTTCAATCCCTGCAGGGGAGTCCCAACTTAGCCCATGACAAGCTCTCACGGTCAACGAAGGAATAGACCTCCTCCCAAGACGTTCCGATCAGACTCGGTATCTCGATAACTCAAGACACTTCGACAGGCTAAAACAAGACCAGCAACACCGCCCGAATGCGCTGACAAAATCCCGATAGGAGCTGCACATATCTCTTTCTCAGGGCACACTCAGATGAGCAAGACGTCGGGCAGGCCAGCCCAGAGTTGCCCCTGGTAGCCCCGAACATCGCTCGGTTGGACCAACACTCAGAGGAGCACTGGCCCGGGGGGGTTAAAATTAGATGACCCTTGAGTCTGCAGAACCCAAGGGAAAGAAAGGCTAGGTGGCGAATGATAAAACCAATGTTGGGCATTGCTGGAAAATCTTTAATCAAGGCAAAATATCAAGGGGTTCCCATTATAACCCAACCGCGTAAGGAACGCAAAATCCGGGAACATAACACCGATATGACGGAAACTAGGGCGGCAAGAGTGGAACAAAACACTAGGCGAGAGGCCGAGCCTTCCACCCTTCGCCAAGTATATAGATGCATTAAAATAGCATAGCAATATAATTATATCCCAACAAGTAAGTAAATATTCCAACAAGGAACGGCTCCAAACTTCACCTGCAACTAGCAATGCTATAAGAGGGGCTGAGCAAAGCGGTAACATAGCCAATCAACGGTTTGCTAGGACAAGGTGGGTTAGAGGTTTGACATGGCAATTGGGAGGCTGACAAGCAAAAGGTAGGCATCATAGCATTGGCATAGCAAGAGCGAGCAAACTAGCATAGCAAAGATAGTAGTGATTTCGAGGGTATGATCATCTTGCCTGCACAGTTGTCAGAGTTGACTGGATCCTCAAAAGCAAACTCAACGGTCTCCTCGTTAGCGAACTCGTCTCCCGGCTCTACCCAACAAGACAAACAAGCAACAAGGATACAATCAACCATGTGCAAACTCAACCAATATGATGAAATGATGATATGCTATGCGGGATGCGATGCGGGATGCAAAATGCAAGATATGACAGGAAAATGCATGAACCTGGCCTCAACTTGGAATTCCAAGTGTGCCACTTGAAAGATGAGAAGAAATCGCTTGAAAACGATATAAAGAACACCGGAATCGGAGTTACGGTTTGGAAATGGCAAGCGTTTCAAAATGACACCGGTCTGCGATTTACAGCAAGTAGGCATCTAAATGCAATGAAATGAACATGCTACAGCAACCAAACAAGACAACAAAATACATGGCATGGATTCACACACGATGCTTAACAAAAGACTAGCACTGAGCCACGGCCAGTTCATCCAATATGAGGTTCTAACAAGCATGGCAAAAACGCAAATGCAAAACAGATTCCAGACTTAGTGAAATTAACACTTGTCTAAAATTTCAGATCACGAAGCCCTTTTCGGAGCAGCAAAACAACATGAAACATGACCTGATTAAGACAAGTAAGAACATGGCATGAAGCTACTCAACAAGCTTAACAAAAGACCCAAAGTGACCTGGGGCCAAAAGGGGTCACAAAATATACTAACAAGCACACGAACATAGCTAAAACACAATCAGTTTTCAGACTTAGTGAAAACTGAGACATGCTAAAATATAACTCACGAAGGCATGTAAACGAGCTCGATGCACTCACCACGGTGCAAGTCATGGCAAGGCAGGCATACATACATTAAGAAGGCACAAAATACAAGCTATACATGGCAAGAACAATGGCATAGCATGGACGGATCAACTACAATAACATCGGCAAAATCGCAAACGAGTTGACGATCTGCCCAGATTCACCATGAAGCAAAAGTAGAGCTCGATTGACTCAAGCTAGGGTGCTCCATAATTTCAAACAAAGACATGGATGGATAGAGCATAACATGATTAACAAAACTCCTTTACTGACCATCCTCAAAAGAGACACGGATCACTAGGAAACAAGCTGAACATATGGCATCATGAACTAAATAATCCCAGACTTAGTGAAAACTACTAAGTCCGTGAAAACAGATTTACCGGGTGCCTCACTTTGCAAGCTTGCACAAGTCACCACATACATCCTAAAAATGCATGGGTTGCACCTCTGGAAAGAAGACAAAATGCTTAACAAAACATATGAAGGACTCACAGGCATATCATGCACACATTAATCATGGCAAAAATGACAAAAGTCTAAGATGAACTAGCAGATCTGACAATTAACTCACGAAGCCTCCTTCTAACAGCATTTTGGGCATCAAGATGAGC